TTATCCTGAGGGAAATTCAAGATACAATGTAGTAGTTTAGTTAATTTTTATAACTAAATGATCAATCTTATATGTAACAAATATACAAAAGATTCATAAACAATCTTTAGGAATCTATAATATGCTTTCATATCTGATCTGTACAATCTTCGTTCTTTCCATGCCCACAGTGCCTCTTTCGACTCAACAGTGCGACTGTGGGATGTCGAGCGAGGGGTTTGTATTCACACACTGACCAAGCACCAGGAACCTGTCTACAGTGTGGCCTTCAGCCCCGACGGCAAGCACCTGGCCAGCGGCTCCTTTGATAAGTGTGTCCACATTTGGAACACCACGGTAAGCATCTGATGTGCACTGGAGAAGATTCATTGTGACTGCTTAATCTCAATGGAGTTGGTCATTTATTAGTTTGCGCTGTTGTTTCAGACTGGAGCCTTGGTGCACAGCTACAGGGGCACTGGCGGTATTTTTGAGGTGTGCTGGAACAGCACTGGGGACAAAGTTGGTGCCAGTGCATCAGACGGCTCGGTAAGTCATGGCCATTGTAATGACAAAGAAGCAATTTTTAGTTCAATTTATTGACTTTTTTTTGGTTTGGTGCAAATAAAATTAAGTGAAAAATGCATTACTAGTACAGTTGCTTGAATTGCATTATTAATGCTTATTATTAACCTAATCCTTTACCTTCCAGGTATGTGTTCTTGATCTCCGAAAATAGCGAACTTGAGACTTTGATGATGAATCCTGGAATGTGCAGCAAATTGCCTTCTTCTAACATCAGCAAACAAACTGTCACTGCTCAAGAAGAGCTGTAAGGTGGAGTGAAACAAGCTCTCACAGGAGTAAAACCAGTTACTGCAGCAGCTGCTGAAGAGAACACCAACTGACTTCAGTGCACCTTACAGTTTGTTGATGTGTGTTTTATGATATGGCGATTTGAAACACAATAGAATCCGGTTAAGAGATCCCCAAGATTGGACTGAATCCAACTCCCTGGGTGCATCCATGTTTTATAAGGTTTCTAATGAGGAAGTGCTGTGATCCCTCCGGGCCACTGGTCCAGCTGTTATCGGGTTGAAAGGGTGGAAACACAAAGATGAGTTTTATATAAAGAGAAAAGTATTAATGAGACACACGTGTTTGGCTGTGAAAGGCGACAAATTATGACAGAAAGGTTGTGGTTTTAGAATTCCTCTGAGCAAATGTTACTTCATGTCCAAGACAACTAACTGGGGGACATGATAAATGTAACATTAATACTGAAGCACTGGTATTGTCTGTTGACAGGGTGCTGAACTTCTTCTCAGTGGAGAATAGTTTGTTTCAAGAGTACTTCTTGCTTTTTTTGGGGGGGGTCTATTTTTCACAATCGGACTTTTGAAAGTCAAAATTGAATGTGCCGCTACAAGGTTAGTTCTTAGCTCATGTTTAAGATCTGGTCAACAAAGGAAAACATGCAAAGAAAACTGTCCTAACCTCCTAAAATGACCTGCTCAGTTCACTCGAGATTAGAAAAAGTCATTTTATGGACAAGATGTGAAAAGTGTGGTTTACAAAGAGAATTTTCTCCCTTTTTGGATGTAAATTTAAGAATGTAAAGATATGTAAATTAGATTAATACACAGACTTATATACTGTGTATATATGTTTATATACAGTACACTTTATCGCCATCCTGTAGGGGCTCATTAATGGCTAGAGCTGTCACATCTTTGTGACGATACGTGACGAGACCTCTTTTTTTTTTAACGAAGTGCATGTCTCATCAGCTTCTTTTAATTCAGTCTTTTTCAACTGGGCCAATCACATCCAATGCGTCAAGATATTTTGTTTTTCAGTTAGTCGCAAATGGCATTGATACAGACGTGTTAAGCAGCTTTGCTTTCCACTATTGATCCCTGAAAGCCATGGAAAAACCTGCCCCTCTTTACCTGCATTCAGGGAATTCTCTGGTCAACCATATGTGAGGAAATAGTCATTAAAGTCCTTTGCTTGGTTTCTGCTTTAACTTTGTATTGTATGTGGAACACGAAAATCACAGAATTAATGTTAAGAGTATCATGCAGACAAATGGGAAAGCAACTACGGCTTAATTAGCATTACCATTGTTTCTCTTTGGCACTTTTTTCTGAACAATCTACTGAGAATTCAGAGCACATTTTGGCCAGAAGGTGGAGGTCAAGCAAAAGTCCTGCTGTTGCTAAAAAGAAAAAAACTAAAGAAAAAAGCCACGATTGGTCTAAAGTCCCACCAAATGCTGTCTGCTGATCCGATTTGAAATGCCTCAAATGTTGTGGGCTGAGCTTCAACAGTGTGCCGTAAGTCTGCCTCCCCCTACTTACTGGGATCTTACTGGGTAAAAGACAGTATCTTCAAACTAACTTGCCACCACTTTGATTTGCCTTTTTTCTGGTCCCTTTCCCTTTCAGTCAACTTCTGTTAGAGCAATGTGAAGTGCACTTTTTGTAATGGGTGGTTCAGCAACATGTTCAGATTTTGCTGAAAGTAAAGGGCCAATGTTTTATTTTTTGTCTCCCCCTCCCCTTTTTTATTTTTTTAATGTCACAATTGGATGTTAATGGGTGGTTCATTGTTTTCTGACTTTTTCATTTGAGAGCCATTATTGTCTGTGTCAGACTGAGAATTGGGCTGTGGGTTGGTGGCCATTCTTGGCATGCTAAGGAGCCCAGTATGGAATAAGTGCTGTGACAGCTACTATGTCTCTCGCACCCTGGTCCAGGGTGCGGTCACCTGTTTCCAAGACAAAACGTTGAAGTCATTCAGTGTCTCAAATAAATCACTCTATTTTGATATCAGAAATCGCAGAGCCTTTGTCTTGAATTGAGTGCTTTTCTTTGCTTAGGAATATTTTGTTTGAAATTGCAATGCAGTCCTCACCAACCACTCAAAAGGTATTAAGAAAGTGTCACCAACAAAACTGTAACAAATGTTTTTGTATATTTAATATAGTATAAAATAGATGTGTGCAAAAATACAAGATAGACAGTTGGAAATACAGTAACTTTACATTACATTCTGTTGTGCTTAGAAAGCCTAATGGCAAGAGTGTGTATCATAAAAGTAGTGTGCATCGTATTCAATGAATTTGCTCAGACAAATATTTCCAAGCATTTAAGGCACTTTAAAAAAATGTGAGAAATTAATATTAAAATGTCATGTTTGTTCTGACTGTCTGTAGACTGACTGCTACCAGAGACAGTGCAGTAGCTTTTGGGACTGTTCAGCTGCTGTACAGTTGAGGTAACACTGCACTGTACTGCAGACAGATTTAAAAAGCTTAGGAAGAAATAAAAGGCTTGGAATCAAGAACTAGACTTATTCTGTCGTACTAACTAATGAAATCTTGTGACCAGTTAATATCTGGGTAAATCTCAACGGGACAATGGGGGGCTAAGAGGAGGCTATCTAAAACAAAAGTAACTAAAAGAACAATGTCACACAGGAAAAAGTAGAGGGGGAGCGTGTTGTTGATCGCCCCAGCTAGTGCCTCACAGAGTTCTCCAAGGATTCCCCATCAGCGTCTACATCCTCATAGTCTCGTAGCTCGCTGGAAATGTGGATTTCAACTGTACTAGACTCTGAACCTAGCAAGACAAAATAGGGGTAGATTACTGGGTGTTACTGCACATGACACCTTTACAGCTTATCAAAGTGCTCATCCATTGAGATATTCAAACCACAATCACAAATCTGTGCATTCACTCACAAATATATTTGGCGTTTTTCTTAAATCTATACCTGCATTTGATTGATTGAAGAACCTATTTTAAAGCTATATAAATAAATAAAAACAAATTCTTTAAAAGATTAACTTTATTTCTAGAGGCTTGCAATTTCAGAGACACTGAATGGTGACACAAAACATTGAAACAGTCTTTGTACATGATCATGGTGCACAAACACAACTACAAAATTGTATAAAATGCTTTACAAAAGCATCCCAAAATACATTTAATAGTATCTTGGCAGGCCTTTTTCACAGCAGACATTTTGACTTATCATTGTAGGAAAGGCACAGGTGTTACTAATAACATTTACGATGGCTTTGTTCTCTTGAAGTGTCCCAGTAAGTCATGGCAGTGAGCCAGCACGAACAATACCAGTACACCGAAACTGAAGCCGCTAAATTGAATTCAGCCATCATTCATTTTATTATTTACACCACACCTGTGCTTTTCCTACTGTGACGTGTAAAAACATTCTGTGTAAAATCCCCATGTCATCATTCAGTGTTACTAGAATTCAGTAAATGCACATCAGTGTCCAATCTACACTCAGTTCAGTCTAATTCAGCAATCCTGCAATAAATAATATAATTATGAAAAATAATAATTAATTATATAATTGTATTTGGAGATGCGTTTCTAAAATGTTACCCCCACCCCGAACATCTGTATCGATGGGGGGGTACTCAATATCAGAAACACCTCAGCAAAACAAACAAAAAACTGAACATTATGAGCTTCATGAAGATTCATTGCAGGACTGTTGAATTAGACTGCATTAGTTTTAACTAGGTGTGCCCAATAAACTGCTAACTGAGTGTATTTTACCTGGTTCATTTGTATATTCAACAGCTTTGCCATTGCTTTCTGCGTATCATCTTATGCATATCAATAATGGCACTTAAAAAGCTCCATGTGATAACTTAGCACACATGCAGCACCCTGAACAGAAGGTCAGAATTTGTACGTAACATGAAGTTCCCGCCACAGTGGATTAACAAACACATGCAGAATGCTACCAACACTGTTGTTATCAGTTCATTAACTTTCTGTGTAATGGGATTTCACGCTACTGTACTACTCAGTGCACCATAGATCGAAACAGACCGTTCTGCAGGGGTAAAAATAATTTTACTATTACAAACATATCACAGAGATCTTTAACTTTGTCCATTTTAAGCTCTCCAGAGCTTTTCCACTGAAGCTAATTGAATTGCAATGATGAAAACCTTTCCTGTGGATGATGTCATGCCAGAATGGTGTCATCCAAAAGAAAATGTATACTTCAAATAAAGAGGAGGTAGGCCAGCCATAGCATCAGGAGACACCATGAACCATAGTACTGTGTCAGCTTTAGAATTTCACCAGCCCTGATATACAGGTGAGCCGTTACTGCCACTGAAACCCCAATTACCTTCTGAGAGGACACTGATGCCATCTGAGTGGTGCTGTCCGTTGCCCATCATGTTCTTCTTGGCTTCCTGGACATGACTCTGGTAGAGCAGAGTGCTCCCCACCACGGGATTATGGCCTGTAGCGTTGGGCGCTGACGTAGAAACAGAGTCCCAGGCCAGCTCCCTCCTCCGCTGCAGGCTGAGGTCAACATCGAAGCCCGTCCAGCCGTGAAAGGCCAGAGTGTTGAGGAAAGCTTGCATGGGGTTCAGGATACCCTGAAAGAGTAAAAAATAAAAAAGAATAAAGGTGTTAGATGTTGATAAAACTAGTGTTTCTTCATTTTGTATGTGATGTCTTTCAACCCACCATGATAAACCATGTGATGAGGGCTGCGTTTCTGATGTTCCTGAAACCGCTGTCATTGATGTCCGTCTGCATCTCCAGGTAGAAGAGGAGGCTCTCATTGATGATGTTGGGAACCCAGCTATAAAACATCAGAGGACAAACAATATATCTTAATAAGACTACTAGAGAGGACTAGCACATACAGAAGTAGTTTTCATTAGTTTTTCGAGAGTTACTCGAAAAAACCATTCCATTATAGATAATCTCTGACATACGCATATAGAGCTACATGTACAGAATTTTTTGTTTGTTTGTTTTGCTACAAATTACACACCTCACCTCACCTTATCAACATCTAATCTTATTATTTTACAACCATATTCTGTGGTATTTTTTTCAACCATTGCTATTTATTGGTTTTCATTAATTTCCACATTATATTAACTTTCATTGTCTGCACCTTAAATATTGTTAAAGTTACATTATCTTCAAGAGGAAATTCAGCACAGACATCTCAAATCAGACTGCCCTTAAACTGCATTACCATAAACAATTGACAATAACAGAATGACTGCAGACCTGTGATATATTGCCCAGTTAAAGCAAGTCTCAAGTGTCTCCCTACTGATTTTACTACTATACAGTCTGTATAGTCTGGATTTAAAATATGTTAAGAATACATGATTTGTAGTTGAGAAGATAAATAAGACACAATGCCACATTTTGGGAAATATGCAAAGTGTTTAAACAACATGTTTTGGTTTTACAGGGGCTTAGGTGCACTAACTTCCTGGAGTTGTTTTGACCATTAGGTTGCCAGGCAACCAGCAATTTAAGACTACAGAAATTAACTGTGCCTAGCCAAGATATAGTTTGGCACATAACCCCCTGTAAAAACCACAACATGTTGTTTTAACGCTTTTTTAAAAGATGAAACAAAGTTTAAGTGAGCTTTAAAGGTGCTAGTAGGTGGATTTCATTAACGTTGGGCAGAGCCAGGTTGTTTCCAGTCTTTAGGCTTAGCTAACTGGCAGCAGATTCATATTTACTACGCAGACATGACAGTGGTTTCATTCTCCTCATCAAACTCTCACCAAGAAAGCATAATAGGTGTACATCTCAAAAAGTCAAACTATTCCTTTAAGTTTGATAAAAGTTGGTAACATACCAAATGAAGAACACCAGCATTATTTTAAAGAAGCGTATTTTTATCTCATTGGCCAGCCGTCTCTCATTTTCTGTGTAGATTCCTTGTCGTCCTTTCAGTAAAGATGTCACTAAGGTGGAAGGACGAGAGAGGTGGTTATCGAAGCCAAAGTGCATGTGTAAGACCGTATTTGACATAAAGAGATTGGAGAGCAAGCTACTGACCTGCAGATACGGTCCGATTGAAGAAGACGGGATTGGCTACAAGGACGAGCAGCATAGGTGCGTATGTGGTGGCATAGTGAGGGATAGCGTGCTGGAGGCCTTGCTCACAACTGCACAAAAATGCAACAACAACATTAGAATTGGAAATCACAGCTGTACTACAGTGTACAGTGACAGTACAGTATTGGGGCTGCTCAATATATATGATTCGCGCTTAGTGGGAATGATCATTTTTACATCAGAATTTCATTTTCACTGAAAAAAAACCACATGAAATCATGATGTTGTGACATATTTTGGGGTCTGTACCAAACAAACAGGTTTTCTTACATCAGGAGAACAGGGTTTGTAGACCAGTACTTCATTTATAATGTTGTTTTGTCATACAATTTATCAGTAATATTATAATAATATTTCACAGGGAGACAAACATTTTTCTATGAATATAAATACTGACTAAATTGTGTAGGCACGGTTCCATCTCCTTGTATATTTGACAGGTTATCTATAGTCCCCTGATAGCTTGACTGCTCTTACAGCAGGAAGGACAGTGACAGACAAACAAAACATTTATGTTCCTTGTTTATCTTGTGACAAGAATAGCAAATGCCAAGAGGGGCTTGAGGGTGTATCTAAAGGAAACAACAAAGAGGCTTACTCTGAGATGGATGGGTAGTAGAGCATGGCCACTCCCTCAATACACAACAGCAAAGCCAGACCCCACGTAATCATGTGGTAGAGGATAATGGTGCTGATGGGGAAAGAAAGAAGTCATGAGACTGAGCTCACAACACATGCTGCAGCTCTGTATCTTTGCAGGCAACAAATGTGCCACAAGGACTGGGGGAGGGAAACACATTGTTAGCCCACCGAAACACAATCAATCTGAGTTGTAGAGCAACCTGAGACCACCTTCTCTACAACAAACTTCAAACCAGTTACAGGGTGTTTGCAGGAGAAGACGCATTAGATGTATAGCACACAACCAATCAGAGTTTAACATGTTGTCAGCGAGGTGTTGAGGTGATAATGAACTGTGGGAGATGGAAGGTGAGGTTCAGAGCACCTGATTCCTGCAGATGTTTTCACCACCAGGAAGACGTCAACAGCGTAACAGAAGGTCCACCAAAAAGAAGCGCTGAAAAACAACTGGATCCACATCTGTAACACACAAATTAGATACAATAATATTATTATACAGATATATATAGATATTTAATATAATAATTATGATAATAGGAAGTATGAGTGTTGTTTTTGAGGTTAATATGTTGCTGTGCACATGCTTCTTGAGCATGCATTAAAACAAATGACCACTTTTAACCATGGAATCAGGATTTTCCAGGACCATGAATGACCACTATAGTCCCGTTCGTGTCATCTGTCAAGCTGAAAGCCGTTACTTAAAGACATATGTGTGTTTGCTCACATAAAGGCTCGGCGGAAATGATTGATTGTTGAACAAGGTGAGGCTTTGTCAAAGAGGACTGCACGTACCGCACTGCCCACGCAGAAGACCTCTGGCCAGACATCAGTGCTGTTGGCCACCGAGATGCTGTCAATGATGTTTGGAAGGCCCAGCCAGACAGATGACCTCACAATGATACCTGGAGGAGGAAAACGACATGTGGTCTCTAACTGTGACTGTTCCAATTAGACAATTCCTGCTTTGTCAGGAGGAGAAGAGGAACAAATAGAGGACCAAAAAGAGCTTCTTCCGTTTTTCATTTGGTATTATTAAGTGTGTTAATGAATTAGATTCAGACATTAAGTCCTTTTAATAGCAGCTTTATATCATGGAAATATGAACTGCCTCCAGGTGTGGTTTATGAGGGTGTTTCCATTTCCTACAGCTTCACTGTGGAATGGAAAAATGGGAGCTCTCCCGCAATCTTAATGTGATGCAGACGAGATGCTGTAGTGTATTTTATTTGAAACTGTGCTTCAAGCGGTCCAGTTTGCAGTGGTTGGATGAAGCTCACTGGGCACTAAGAAACACAGAAGCACATGACCTCATCTGCCTTCACCAAGAGCAGAATGAACAGCTTCAAGTGCCCGATGTAGAGCAACAGTGTGAAAAATAATCTACAGCCTTTTGTGTGCTATTAAATATCTAAGTATTGGTTGCTTTAAGAACAATGCAGCATTCAGTTCAATATAAGCCAACAACAGGGAGAAAAAAGCAGTCATGAGTCATGTTTGTACTCACATGAGAGGACCATGATTCATTATTTGTTTTGTAATAAGCTGCTTCAGGACATCTTAAATACATCTGCTTTGTTCAAACTTGATCTGAGGTTATAATCAAGTTTTTGATTGAAAAAGAAAAATCTGACTCTGAATGACTGACTCAAACCTCTGCAAAAGCTCATGTAGGATCGATTTACACCCAAAAAGTAATCTTTCTTTCCTTTTTGGCAGATAAATGGCAGTTTTCAGAGCTGTACAAAGGTTGCTTAATGTTTCCTCTCAGTTTAAACAAAGCAGATGTAGTAAATGTAGTGCAACAAAAGGGTTAAAAACTAAATCCTTAATTAGATCCAACAAGCATTACTACACTGTCAAACAACTACTCGCCCTTTTCTCACTTTTGTTTCTCAGCTGTAATAAAAAAGGCCAACACCACTCTGTTTTTTTACCTGCGCATCCCATTATGTCACATATGCTGATGATGAAGAGGATCCGAGAGGAGGACGCGGGCCTTGGCAGCGGATACTGCCCCAGCCTTCTGTATCCCTTGCGTTTTGGCAGAATTTGTAAAATAGCAAAGAGCAGACTCAGAGCCGCGCTTCCCAGACTCAGAGCCCCGAACAGGACGGGCTGGAAGGTGACCACGAACTCTGTCGCTGGGTCCCGGTTCGGGCAGCAGAAAGTCTCCAACCGGGGGGATGCCATGACGGACTGGAGGAGACAGAAGGAGAAAGAGGGAGAGAGAGGGAGAGGGAGAGGGGAAGAAAAGAAGTGGGTGTCAGGAGAAAAAGAAGAAAAAGACAAGAAAAGGAAAGGAAATGATTGGGCAGCCTACATGACCCAACTCTTTGAGGAAATCACGGGGCTGAATCATCATGTGCTTCCATTTAATCCCTGCAGTTGTAGCTTAACTGTGCCACAATGCAGGCAAATCAACAAAGGACTGTTGTGTGACACAGAGTGATTTAAGTCTTAAAGTTTGGTGAGTTCAGAAAGCTACTGTATGTTTTAATTCGTTAAGTAATGTACAGTAGTGTGCTGGGCTGCTTGACCTGTACAGTATCTGGGGTCAAATACACTCAAATCAAATGATCAGAGGGAATTTAATTTATATACTTTATTCTACCCCTGAGGGGAAAACACTGCTGATTCATTACAGACCATTAAGATACATTGCCTTCAGTAAGAACAACCACAGATGGACAACAATAAAATTCACAAATAATAATAATAATAACATGAAATAAATGAAAAGAGATATCTTAGATATACAGAATATACAGCTCTTTAATGTAGACACTGTATATTTTATTATAGCAACACCATTAATCAATCAATACATTAATATATCATTTATAGTAAATGAGTTTAAATAATGAAAGAGTCATGCTATCAGTAAAGAATATTTGGAATTTAGATTCTCACTTAGTTTATGTGGTCATGTCACTTTTTCAGTTTAGTTGATAAAAGCGTTTGTAGACCAGTTGGTTTCGGCTGCTGGAAGTCTAAACCATAGTAACACCGTAAGATATAATATATACATGATATAAGAGAAGCAGTAAAGTAGCATGACACATATTTGATTTTGAGTCTTCCATTGCTTAAGCCTGTCGACACAGTTCAGTTCAGGCCACCCATCCATCTCATTCACCTCACTGTGTGTGTGTGTGTGTGTGTGTGTGTGTGTGGTTGTAATCTTGGATGCCATGACATTAATGCTGAGCCTTCTGGAGCTGATGTGGGTCACACTCACATCAGCAGGAAACCTGATAACCCTGGAGGTATAGAGTCGTGCATGTTACATTTAGATGCTGTGACTAGTGAATGCCAGATGACCTAATGAGTCTAATAGGGGAGACTGGGGCTTGTTGTCACACTTTTTACACCTTATATATTTCTTGGATCTATACATCATAAAAAAAAAGTGTACCAGATGAAAGCCCAAATCTCAGATATATTTTCGTATTCATGTCATTTCATATCTTGGTGTCAGTACAGAGTTATAAGCAATCAAATAGAGAGAGAGTGTTGAACATGTGACATGTTTGCCCCACCATTCGGGTAAGTTTCTCACTATTATGGGGGTAGAATGTAACACTGATTTTGCAACTAATAAAACAAGAACAAAAAATTATTTGTTGTTGCTTCTTTTTTACTTAAAAGTGAACAATTGAAAGTCAGGCACAGAAAAATGTTATCATTGAAGCTTAAAAAAAACCATGAACAATTAACAAAAATATTATGCAACCATGCACTGGAATAAAGTTCCTTAGGAACTGCTGGCACGTAGGCTATGGACTCTCAGACTCGAATGCCTGTTTTTACCTTTCTTAGCTCAAATTTCCAGATTGAATTGAATCAAAAAAAGAAAGCATTGGTTTATCAAACTAAACCAGTCCTGACATGTGGACATCGTTCCAACAACAATTTGGGAAATCCATTCCTAAAAACTCAAACCAAAACCTGACAAACAAATTTCCTCACTTAGTCAGACTCATCACTGCCATCGCAGGTTCTGGCATACGTAGACTTGATTTGCGAGGGCGTGCATTCTCATGGGGCCCATTCCTTTTTGCATATTATGCACTGCACCACGTTTCTCCTGGGCGGCTGTTGTCAAATGACTCTAACAGACCAGGCACAGGGACTCATCTTCTCCGATGGAGGAGTCATTCTGGAGTTTTTCTTTTGACCTGCCCTCGGTTTCTTGGTATTTTGGATTTGGTTGCCTTACCTTTACGTGTGATAACTTAACCCCAAAATGACTGAGACATGTTGCCCACTAGCACACACTAGCTCTTAGCTTTAAAGTTAGCTTAAAACAGAAAATGGGTATGACAGGATGCCTTAATCTCTCCTCTAACAAGTCCACATGTATCACTGTTAGGATTTTTATCTGAACGAAGCTTATTTTGAAATATATAAAGTTGATATTTTTTAATTTGGATTGTGCAAAATGGTTACTTGGTGCTCATCTCATCCACAATGTGCTATCCTCCTCTTAGACAGGACATGACACCCTGACCATGTAAAGGAAGAAAACTAGTATTCCACTTTTTAGTTTGCGCCCCTGGGTGGAGAAGATAATTGCAATTTGACAACTTACCCGTGTGACAACAGTCCCCGTCTCCCCTATCTCCTACTGGTGCTATTTGTGGGTGGTGTTTGTTGTGATAAGAGATTTGGACTTGTGTATTATGCACTGATAAATGGAAAAATGAGTACAAACAAATGCAAAAGACTGACTTTAATCCAACATGCAAAGTTTGTTGTGTCTCTTTGTTAAGGTGGTCAAGAAATGGTCAAACCTGTGCAACAAAGAGTTAATAGTAAAACTTCGTGCACAAGCAGAAATGGGAAACCTAAGAATAAAGTATGCTCAGGCCCGTTCTTAGATTCATGATACTAAAGATGGCATTTAGTGCACTTTGCTCGCATAGGTTGCCTGAATCTTGCCCCAGAACCCTTGCATATAACCCCTACCCCCCCATTATGTATGCCTCAGACAGTCATCATGTCCAGATACAAGTCGTGGCAGCTGCTGGATCTGCCTGCTTGGACAGAGATCTGAGAGAACGGGTGGACATTTGAAGCAGATTTATTTGGGAAACAAAGCATCATTATTCAGTACTACAGAGAGGGCATTCATTGAGTTTGTACAATGGCATTCTAATCCATATGCACCTTCCCTGACAAGGCACAAAGTCAATTGTATGGCAAGCTTGTAGCCTGCTGCCAAGGATTAACAACTCCCTGAGGAATACAGTTGGTATTGACTTGCTGTGTAAACGTCTGCTCTCTGTTGCTGCCCCCTGCTGGTCTGCACATAATGTGATTGTAGCTCGCAAAACACAGTAGATATTGCTACGACTGTACATTTGGGAATAGCTCCTACCATTATATGTTATTATATAATATCTAGTGTAGCCTAAATCAATAATAACATGGGTGTATCCCATAACACAGCTGTTAGCTCCAAGTCAAGCTGGATTTATTTCATCGCCAAGATACAGATGTTGCGTGGGAAGTTAACTGAACGCTGTAAGGTAATTATCTTTCAGGTTGTTCCCTTCAGGGAGGTCAGAGGTCAGGTTAGCTTATTGTTGGAGCTGCTAGGGATTCAGTGTTTTAATCAAAGACACTGAAGCAGAGCACATTCTTGTTAACTTAGGGTGCTGAACCCTGCTTTTTGATTTCAAGTAAGGTCTGATTATTAGGTCACTCATCCACATTCTGTTATGTCTGAAAAATAAGTGGATTCCATTGGTTAACCATTAGATTAGATTAGATAGATCATTTGTAACAACATGCAATTAAAAGAAAAAAGTTATTCTCTTAATATGTTACCCAAGAAAACCACACTGTCATAACCACACAAAAAACAATGACAAACTAGGATATATAATATAAGATAAAATCTAAAACAAGAATACTTATTTTGTCATAAAGCCTTGATTTGCTGAACATCATTTATGCTGCATCAAAATATGCACTGTGATGATACCAAGATGTATTGCTGATAAAGACAAATGCCTAATAATAAGACAAAACAACAAAAAAGATAAATGAAGTATTAATAATAATATAACATGTCCTTGTTCTTCCTCTAAAATAACAGAGCCTATGAATATTCAAATAATAGTTTGTTTTAAAACTTAAACCACAAGACGAACTGCTTCCTGTTTCACTGTGTAAGTAGCACACTGGACCACGATTGGCTCCCAACTAGTTGTAATGTCACAAAATGATTTAAAACCAACCTCAGATTTTAAGGTGAACACAAAGAAACTTTCCTCCTTCAGTGGATGATGTGAAGCCTTCTAGTTTTAAACACTCTTCACAGTGAAGGTCAAACATGCAAGTGAAACAACAACAAGCAAAACACATTTTTGAGGGAAAGGGCGGACTTTAAATATCTGGAAATAAAAATGTGTGACATCTCTGCAGTGGCAACTATGTCAAAGTCACTGCTGAGGCAAATAAAAAGTTTAGAGCTGCTTTTATCTAACAATATAACAACTGCTTTTTATTTTAAACGTAAAAAGTATGCCAAGGACATAAAATTGAAGAATAACCTAAAAAAGGGTTTATGAAACGCTGTTGTTCTAAACCAGGCACAATGGGAAGAGATATAAACAGATATTATATCTTTTAATGTAGGAACGCATTATGGCCTACTAATTACATAATGCCTTTACAGTGTACCACAACGTTACACATGTAGAGTCATTTCCTTTCATTTTATTCATCCCCAACACCGCCCATCTGCTGCCTGGGAGGATGGGTGTGGATGCACAGTGTCAAATTACACACAAATTACAGACCTGCTCAACAGGCCCCTCTCCGGCTGCCTCTGCACCTTCATTGGTCGAGACCCAACCGCTGCATTCAACCAGCCTGTTTCCTGCATGGCAAATACCCTTTGTCTAAGAGGAAATGACATCACAGTGACAGGACCTGCCACAAACACACTGAAAACAGATGAGGGCCAAATGTCTTTCAGATGGGTTTTCTGAGTTGGACACAGTTCAACCTCTACTGCACAAAGAAAAACCTATGAGGCAAACCAGTCAGGCCGTAAAACAGCTTTTGGAACGGCCACTGTGAAGTATGTCTGCGGGAAACGTAGAGACTCCGCGAGACTCTACATGTCAAAGTGGGACTGTTGTTTTTTTCTCAAACCCTTTGATGAGTGGTGAGTAGCTGCTGGCAGTGTGTGCTCGCACTGCAGCTGAAGTGTATTTACTGCTTTACATGGAAAGTTTCACATTATTAATGCATATTTAAGTCACTTGAAGGTGTGATACTGACTAAAACTTGTGTTTTTAACGTCTACACCTAGATGTTCAATCAGACTGGTCTCCAGTTCATGATGCTGCCTTTAATGGCCGTTTCCTCTCTCTGCAAAGACTCATTGCTCAGGTAAAGTTATTATACTGCATAAAGAGATTATTATTATTTATTATGTTTTGTTTTTTGTCTGAAAATCATCATATGTGTGAAAGACAACATGTTTTCTCTACTGAAATCTTGTTGTGGATAGTTTACTATCAAATCTCATAATGTGCTTCTACAGCATTTCAGTGAATCTGTATGTACTGTGTATTGTTTACAGGGTACATGCGTCAATCTGAGCACTCTGGACCTGGTTTCTCCCCTACATGGAGCATGTATGCAAGGCAACTTGGCTTGTGCCAAGCTTCTGATGGAAAATGGGGCAAATGTTAGTAAGGCATCATTGTCTGATTACGCTTTTTTGTGAACATAATCAACAATGTTTTGTGTCTTTCTTTAAAGGAAACTCTAGATCCTGCTCTAGTCTATCTAGAAGTAAACCGTATCAATTATTGCTGGGTTTAACTTTTTGTTGTTGCATGTTAGTAAGAGATTAACCCAACACACAGTGCATACACAATAACACATTAACAAACATAAATCTGCTGATACAAAGTCTGACTCGTCAAACCATCACAGCGCCCTGCTTGTTTGATAGTAGATCTGCTGTAAATGTTGTATTTTAAATATAATCAACTGAGAGGTTTTTGGCTATATTTAAAGTTCATAACATCTTATTATTTCTTTTGATTTAAAATTTTAAATCATTATGCCTTCACGTGCTTATGCTCACATGAATTTTGTAGAAAATGTTTTGTGAATTGTCTCAAACACATACTTACCCACGTCAGGTAAACAGTTCAACAGTGGATGGACAAACTGCCCTGTCAGAAGCGTGTGCCCGGGGCCATGTGACCTGCGTATCACTGCTCCTTCAACATGGAGCGACTCCCTCAGGGACCAGCCAGTCCAGCTCTCCAATCCATAGGGCTGCAGCAAAAGGTGAGAGGTCACATTCCACTGCATACACACAGATAATCTATGCTGAAATACTATAGTCAGTCACTATAAAATGCACAAAGAGTGCCGAAACATCAAAAAAAGCCTATGTGAGAAAATGTATAGTGTATTAAAAATTAGTGTGCGTTGTTGTAGCCTACAAAGTAAAATTACTGCATATACTTCCCCTGGGGGATTCAAAGTGCAAGCAGATTTCAAAGAACATCCTTTCAAGTACATCACTTCTCATTGTGATGATTCTGGTAACTCTGTTTAGGTCACCCAGAGTGCATTGAGCCTCTCGTTCAGTATGGCGCAGACGTGGATCAGTATATCGACCAATCAGGTTTCCCTCTCCACGTTGCCTGCTCCAATCAGCATCTGACTACTGTGAAGAAACTGCTTCAGCTTGGTAAGAAGAACTTACTCCAATAAATCTGTTAGTGTTTTAGGAGATGATCAACTATAATAATAGTGGAGTTTCATAACTGTTCATAAGAGGTTTAACAGTCAATCTTTAGGGTCTAATTTATGTGAGTAACAGTGGCAGCATCTCCCGTAGGAAAACACACTGTAGATTTCTTTGTGACTTTTAGGAAAACAAATACAATATCCCATTTAACATTTAACATGACATATTCTATTATTTAGTGCAATACATTTATGTTCATTTCTGTATTTTGACACCTTACATACATTTTAACAGGGGTCAGAAGACAAGCAACAAAGTATTTACAGGAAAACAATCGGTTTATTTTTACACATACAGCAGTGGAGTAAATGAGGGAGTAAAGCCAATGTCAACAAAAAACAAGGGACAAACAACATTGCTACTAATACAACTTGTTTCCAGTGGTAGAAACGGTACTCAAAGGCCATTTACTTAACAGTAATAATAATAAATATGTAATAATAATAATACAAATATAAAATAATAAAATAAATTTAAATTTAAAGTAAAGTTCTCAATTACTTGTTTGGTGTCTTAATTAATACAAAAGTACAGTAGTGGAATGTGTTTACTAAAGTGCTCTACTGTAACAATGTGAGGTACTTCATGCTACTTCACTTTAATTCAGAGGAAAATGCTGTACTTTCTATCCCTACATGTATTTGACAGCTGTAGTTGTTAGTTACTTCACAGATCATGACTTTACAGACACAATATATGACCAGTTTATAAGATATAATGCATTGTTATATATTAAACTGCACACCAGTTTATAAAATGGGTAAAATTAGCTCCACCTTGTCCACGCACTTTGAAACTACTTACACATGAATGTATTAGTAATAATAATAATGATCCAATATTATACAGTAATCTATAAAAGCACAACACGCCATTCTTCTGCATTGTGAGTATTTTACTTGTTACACTTTAAGTAAATTCTTATACTTATTAATACTTTTAGTGGTGGCATTTTAAATGCAGGACTTTTACTTATAAGGGAGTATTTTCTTTTCTTAGTATCTTTTACTCGAGTAAAAGATCTGAATACTTTCTCCACCACTGCAGCAGCACCATGTGTAACTAGCTGGTAATATGTTTTGCATGTAAAACCTTAATCTGCCAGATAAATGTAATGGAGTACAAAGTAGCATTAAGGAAAAATACTAAAATACAAAGCACTAAAATAAAGCATGTACCTCAAAAATGATATGTAAATACAGCCCTTTCTTCCCGTGTAAAATTAAATTTGTTTTACATAAAGTCAAATAAATCATTTTTGGGGCTTACTGATTTGAATATTCATGACTTGAGTAAATGCAGCCTATCTTAGAAAGGACCCAAAGTCTTTTATGTAAGCTTTAAAGAGGATAAATGGTGCTCTGTGCTCTGCTGTAGAAGAGGACAGGCTTTTGTCTGAACTGTCAGAGGATCTCCTCACCAGTAATATGAGGACATCATACCTCATTAGTCTCATGATCTCCTTAAGGTGCTAGTGTGAACAACAGTGTGTCTGGTGACTCCCCGCTGCACATCGCTGCTCGTCTGTCCAGCCCTGAGTTGGTGTCTGTCCTGCTTGACCACGGGGCCGACCACTCCCTCAGGAACTCGGAGGGCAAACAGCCACTGGACCTGGCACCTCGCAACAGTCTGGTGGAGAGGCTGTTGAGACAAGCAGGAGGTATTCAACCCAAACTAACCAAGTAGCCTCACTGTGGGGATTTGTAGTGCCATAAGGTAATAATCTAAACATCTCTCTATCATGGCTCCCTGCTTCTCCCCTGATGCCTGCCCAGGAGTGTCTCCTCTAACGCAGCTGTGTCGGCTGCGCATCAGGAAAACTGTGGGCAAGCAGAGGCTGGGTGGGATTCACGACCTTCACCTTCCCAGAGAAGTGAAACAGTATCTTCTCTACCAATCAGACCCAGGGGGAGATAATGCACTGAGTAACTCAACTCTCCATTGATTCTGAGCAATTCACTTCTAGGCCAGCAGGGGGAGTACTTGCTATATAATTGCTCACGGTTGTGGTAGTAATTAACTGTAATTCTTTCTGTGTGGCAGACCTCTGTAAACAAACTGAACAAGATCAATCTGGACTTTTATGTGGAAACTTTAAAGTCTTGGAGCAAGTTTTTATCATTAAATATTTATAACATATACATATTTAAAATGAGAATATGGGCTCATACGGTCTAATAAATGTTGCAAAATTAATGTTTAATAAAGTTTCATATGCTGAAACTACATTCAGCTAATATTGTAGTTTTTGTTACTTTTGTTTCCAGCTGTTTTTAATGCTGCTGTATTGGGATTCTTTCTTTTAGACCTACAACACATAAAACTCATATGAAATCTTCTTTATGTTCTGTACAGAAATCTTGGAAATAATTTAGTGTCTTTAATCCTTGCAGGGCATGTAGTAACATTTTACAAGAGCTAAAATTCAAAAAATACATTTGTAGATAAATTGACAACACAGACAAGTCATGTCCAGTTCAGTCATTACCAAAGTGTCTACATTGTCGAAGCTGAACACATCAGTGGTTAAGTTATCATGACATGATCAATGACACGAATGTAATTTTTATACTGTAATTATCATGACTAAAAAAATAAAAATGAATATTAATTCATATTAAAGATATCAGAGATTCTCAGACTGGATGGAAAAACATCAGTGGGCCTTTGTGTTTTATCTGTCATATGTAGCTGGGTGGCTGTTGCGTTTTCCAATAATTTCAAGCATGGTCGGAGATAACCAGTAATTATGAGTCAGCATCCGATTCCCACAACTTACTTTCTTTTCAATTACTCTTTTATTTTTTTAAAGAATTCTTGTACTAGTTTAGTTTTAGTGTCTTTGGTTACAAACGTGCTGCTTTTGATTGTAAAGCACAAACAAAGCTTTATTAAATACTGATATAATATTATTATTATTATCAGTATTATACAGTGTATGTCTACTTAAGACATGCACTGTTTAAAGGTAGATATAGGCTCTGTTTTCCCAGAGCTTAAAGAGTCTATGTGAAAACCAAGACACGCACAAGGCTCAAGCAAAATAAACCCAAAGACAAACATTATGTGAACACCGAATGCCAAAACACGTCACACAAAACTGACACTGAAGTATTCATAGAATGAATGAATACGTTATAACCCAGTTACACTACATATTTTTCCTTAAAGCTCAGTTCAGTCAAATAAAGCGACAAGGATACAGCCCTACATCAACATAATGAATGCTCTCCCCCAGGCCCTGTGCCTGTCTGAGAAATGGAGCTATGCAGATGTTTAATTGAAGAATTAGGCATTTATTAGCGTCTGATTTTCTTGTGGTGCCCTTTTACTTATAATAACCTGAGGAGGAGAGAGGGCACTGCAACAAAGATGAAACAGTGATCTATACGCATTAATTCAGATGGTAGAAACCGAAGAATACAATGTTTTATTTAGGTCACTTGCTCTCTCCAAGGCCTTAATGTAGTATTTACCATGTGCTGGCTGATTTCATGCTAATCACTTGTTTATCCGCTGCCTTAAGCAGGAACGCAATGCAAAATACATCCATCTTTTCTTCTTGATTTTCGCAATAGTTTTGTGCACACAAGTTGCATAAATATTGAGTGTGAGAGAGGCATCTCTCTTCCAGAGCTCCTAGCAGCTTGTCACCATCCTTAACCCAAACTCTTCAAGTGCTCACTGACTTCTGACCCGTGTGTTTGTCTGTGCTTATAGCCAATCGGTGGGGCTGAAAGAGCCTAAGAAAACAGGCTTAGGATAGATGGAAAAGAGTGAAAATGGAGAATAACCTTATATGTATCATTTTTGTGTTACTACACACTTATGGGAGCTGAATAATGGTAACAACCACTGGTTTCAACGTGTGATACTGTAGTTCAACATTAAAATCCTCTCCGTGGTTACAAAAGCAAGCAAACCCACACACTTCTTATTAAATGTAGCACTCATTAACCCCCACCGTCAATCCCCACCCCGTCCCAATTTGCCACTTGAACTAAATCATCGTCCCCTCAAACATCAAATGAGTGCCTGGAGGTCAGCCACACATTGAACCGTGTTTCAATTTAACTGGTGTTTAATGTTAAATCAATACTGTGGTTGAGCTTCTGACTTCTCACATACAGCGTCCGCTGCCTGTAATGAGTGAAATATAGACAATCAGGTGAGATGAGCCTGTTCTGGTCTGGCAATCAGTGTCAAATGACCGCCCAAGTAATTTCCCAACTGTAGCCAGTGTGGCTTCACTGATGGCGGTGTTGTGTTTTGCTCAATGCAGTGTACACGAACGACTTCTCGGGTTCAGTCGGGCCCTGCGTTGCACTTAGATGCACTTAAAATCAAACCACCTATGTGTGATACCAAAGCTTTTACTTTTATTCTCTAGAGGCGATCACTCCATTAACCCCTCGTCCTTTTTTTTTTTTTAGTGGATAGGCACTTTCTACACAAATAGCGCAAAATGCATTTCTTACTGAGGGTTTAAGTGAATGCATCCAGCGCACACGCTCGCTTAAAACTACCCAATTGCTTCCACCAACAGCTATTAATGGAGATGTTTTAAAAGAAGAGGGAACCGTATGAAGGGTAACCACTGAAACAGAATGAGTTACAGAACAAGCCACACAATGCAATCTTCAGGGGAATAAACATTTTGGGCCCCGCGTTTATAATCAACATAGGATTAGTTTACTCGTTATTGCATGAGTCATTCTAATCATCCCTCGCATGCGAGCAGCCACCACCTACTGCGAACAAGCTGCAAATGTTGATGCCAGACAACCCCTTATGTGCACACATCTAATAACCCAATTGCGATCATTCCTTGTGCGGCAGCTCACGTCCTGATTGCTCCGAGCTGGATCTTGTTATAGATATCAGTGCTCCTACTAAGCTACAAGTGGCTTGTGCCATGTCCTTGTACTCGCCAGTAATTGCTTTGGTATTTTTAGTTTGCCCGGCGTCGGGGTAATTAAAACAAATAGGAGATAGCGGAGACAGATATCTCCTGTGGCTCCTTGGTCTGAGTGCGGAGCGGTTTAGTAAGGTCATACACTGCCATGTTTTCAATTAGACACCTCAGTACTAATGAGGGTTTATTAAAGAGTGTGAATACTTATGCAAAACAAGACTACCGAGTGACCCAAACATCTACATCTCAGGATAAAGGCGGGTGTGCAGACGCTCTTTTTAGCTACACAAATTTACTTTTTTTTTTTTATTTCTATGCCCGACTACACTGGGAGAAAAAGCATGTTCAACAAAATGATGTAAATTGACAAAAGTGTTTATTTTTTTACATTCTGTAGATTTCTACAATATAAAAAATTTTACATTATTATGATCACAAAAATAACTGTGACTTCTGCAATAAATACACATTTATTTTTCAATGATCCGTCTTAAAAAATACATTATTATTGATCTGATGTCACGTTGTTAAAAATGTCTCTGTTGTATTTACTCTCACGTGCCTGAAAAGCACCACAATCTCTTCTTATAACAACTCACATGTCCCTAAAGTCGGCCCCCCTCAAATGCATGACAGCAACCTGGGAGGAGGAGGAGGAGGAGGAGGAGGAGGAGGGTCCAGGATGACCGTGGCCGCCCCCCCGGAACCGTCTGTGTGTCTGTGGTCGACAGATTAGCCACAGCTCCCTTAGCCGGAGGGAGCGGTGGCAGGTCAGGACGGCCGCTGGGAAGTACCCAGCATGAAGAGACACAGCAGGTTCAGCACCACAAGGACCAGCACCAGCCCAGTGAGAACCTTCTGCACCCACAGACACGTATTCAGCTTCTGCTCCATCCGTGAGTTGCAGGCCATCAGTCGCATGAGCTGGTGAGATAGGAGAAAACTGGTTCATTGACCTAGTTTGTCAATCTAAGCAGCCTAGTAATGAAATTCATGAAAAAAATAAAATAAAAAAATCGGGATGTTAGAGATGCACAGTCGTTTAAAAAAGAAATGCTCTGACATTTTGGGAAATATGCTTGTTAGGTTTCTTACCACGACTTGGAAGAGGAAGAGGAAACAACTGGCCTATCTTTCTCAGCACAACTAAAAGCCTATTGACATGTTATATTTTATTTATTTAATACGTACATAAACAGAAAAGCAAAAATCTGAGGTTTGAAGGGTTACGTGCTATAACTAGTCCCCTGGAGAACAACAGTCAAGTGCAGAGTCTTGTTGTTACCTTGAGGTTGTGAGACAATCGGCAGAGAGGCAACACAAAACTGTTGGTCGGGTCCTGAAACTGTTGTTTGTCAATAAACAGTTATAGCACGCAACTCCCCTGAAAGCTACAACTGTAGTTTTTTTTTTTTTTTTTGAGTGTGTCTTTTAACATTGGACTGAGCCAATGGGCTAATTGCTTCCCCTTGTTTCCAGTATTTATGCTAAGCTAGGCTAACTGCCTCCCTGTTCCAGCTCCATAGTTAACACACAGATGTGAGAGTGGTATAAATGTTCTCATCCAACGCTCTGCAAGAAAGCAAACAAGCATATCTCCCAAAACGTGAAGAATATTAATAATAGTTATAAACCAGGTAGTTGTACCTAACATTATACAATCAATCTAAATGTTAAACGTACTCATATGAAATTTAAGTTATCATGACGTCTTTATTGGTGCAATTCAACTTTCTGAGTCTGATCAAGAGATAGTATTGAACTACAATGGGTTGTTAAACAATGAGTCTACAAAATCTATAATGGGGGTCAAAAGTATCTCAATGAACAACTAAACGGTAACTTAAAGATAATACTGGAAGTACTGTAGAGGAACAAGGCTTCTCTTCCACCAGAACTCACCGCTGTGTTTAATTCCTGCTGCCCGCTGGTCCCTGCCTCCACAGGGCTGTCCCTGAGAGGACTCACTGTGGGTTTAGCACTCTCCAGAAGATGACAGCGCAACCTGTGGGAAAGTCACAATCTAATGAGCGGAGGCCATCAGGGTGATATGCAGCCTGTAACGAGAACTGTGTGGCAACAGACCATCACCGACAGTGTACAAATTCTTTCAGATATTTACTGACATGACTAAAAAGGGAGCACAGATGCATACCTGTGTTCCATGACCTTGGCTTTCGGTACTTCTTTCCAGAACTGTGCCAGTTCTTGTGATCCAACACTGTCCATCTCGGCAGCCATAACCAAAAATCTGTCCTGCGGAGAGGCTTGAGAGCCTGCACAACAACATTCAGGGCAACATTAACCTCTTTTACTGTGGCTTTCCTAAGTATATTGATTTCTAAGCAATTTCCAGAACAGAAGTGCTTGCCATCAAATTGCAGAAAAAAAACCAACAACAATTCTTCCAGAAATCTCCAAATATGAAGTTACGGTAGAGTTTTCAAATGACAGCAGGAATGTTTCTGGTGTTATTCAAGGACTTGAATATGGTATTTTGGAGGGATCTTTGACCATTTGTATCACTGCTCAAGTGGTCATACATTGTTACATTTTGCAACAAATCTGTATCCCATTACATAAAAACAGAAACGGGAAGGGTTTCAGAATTTAAATGAGTTTAAATCAATAACAAAACCAAGGTAGCTGGCTGGTTTAAAAACAGTAACAGGGGGCTATGTTAAAAAGATTTACTGCTAAATATGACAGTATTGAGAAAAAACCCCACCACAGCTTTAAAGCTAGGGGGAAAAAACAACCCTGAAATAGGTAGCGCTGCTTCCTGAGTTGTATGCAGCACATCATAACCTACAGCTAACATTTCAGCACTTTGAAGGCCACAAAATGTTTTAACTGGCACAGCACTGTCAGTTTTCTGATAGTTTGTTTTGGGGAGATGATTCTTTTATCACTGTTAAAATATGTATGTCAGATAAAGAAAAGTGGATGCTGGCACTTTGGGAAGGTAATAGACTGGACCTTTTGATTATTCTGAAGTTCAGTATTTGAAAATATCTACTGTGAGTGGAGTAGAGTGCAGAGTTAAAGTGCAGTACCTCCGTGTAAGGACACCACTATATCTACTGATGCTCCTGCTTCACAACAGCTGCTACTGGGCTTGACTCTGTACTTCTCAGGTGCTGTGGTCCGTACCTGTGGACACACCAGAGACATTGTCAGAATATGAAATATCCGAAAATAGGGACAAAAGCCCATCTCGAATCCCCACAGCTCATGTTGATGTCTTCAAAATACTTGTTTTGTCTGACTATTAGTCTAAAACTGACAATTTAATTTACAATTACATATATAATAGTGAATGTCTGAAGAAATTACTTCAACTACTTATTGGACAAAACTTTCTGTTGAAAGATTTATCAATCTAATTATTTCAGCATTCATTTATTTTAGCAGTAAAGCCATTGTTCTGTAAACTCATGCCGTGTTCACAAACTTGAGCACAGAAGTCAGCGCGCACACACCACACGCATGTGAGTGCCTTCACACTCACCTTGAAGGCCACTTGATTTTTGGTCACATTGCTCAGGATAATGAGGCTTTTTTTCTCTGTCTCTCCAGAACCAAAGCTGAGCTCCTCTGCAGGGCTGGTGGGAGAGAAGAGAAAAAGCACACATTGTAAAACAAGAGCCACATTAAAACAGCTGTCTGGGTGGAAACCAGAGGCTTGGGTCTTAAAAATACAGTTAAATTTGTGTTATAAAATGTCTATTTGTGCACTTCGGTACTGATAGATGTAGACAGAAGTTTCCATTTGCTTCACAGCATGCTTTATTGTTTCTCTCTTATGTATCTTATTAAAACCGATTGGACTGTTACGATTCCTGTGCCTCGCGGTCTGTTTGGTGTGATTACCCTGGGACACCTTAGCAATCTGCTTCAGCAAAGCTTTCCTATAGTAGCAAGTTTTTGCAGCTAAAAAAAGATTAAAAGCATGCTTTCAAATACAGTATTTCTGTCGAGCATGTTTACTTCAATGTAGATGCCGAGTTAGCAACAGTCTAACTCTATAAATAGAACGTGATTTGATAAATTCAGCCTCAGCAAACTCCCTTATTGCATTGGGGACTTCAGCCAAGAAACTAGCAAATGGATTATAATATCTGCTTCACATTTATAACGCTTCTCATTGATGTAGCTTGGCTATGTTGGACTAAAACTGCTCGGAACAAAGATATATTTTTTCCCTTGCCTTCATGTGCTTCACCCCCCCCCAGTAAAACAGCTGTAGAGTTTGGCACTCAGAGTCAGTCTACGGGCTCTGGAAACCTTTGGCAAACACAAGATCAAAGCCCCCTACTCCCCTCTAAAGCCCACAGCCTCGAATTAAGGCTAACACAGCTCAGAAACATAATTGCATTTAAGGCTCATTTAAATCTGTTTATCACTATAATTCACAGCCCAGAGCTGTCAAAATCCTCACATCAAAGCGGTTACTTTGGAAAAAACAGAACTCAATGGACCTTATTCATGAAAATGAGGAGTAACATCATACAGTGCGAGAATGCACTGCTGGATATTTACCCAAGAACCAACCAGATCATTGTTATTGCTCTACTCCTTTGCAATACACCGCTTCTGAAGTCAATAACCTCTTTGCAATTCAATGAGTGCTCAATTAAAACACGTTTGATAACGTGCATGAGGTGACGGGTGCTCCCTTCTTAAAGTTCAATTTACCATTGGCCTGTCACTGAACAATTGATTGGTAGCATCCTTAATTCCTGCCCACATGTGATCAGATCAATTGAGCTGTAAGGTGAAAACATGTCAATAATGACTTTAGGCGTTCAGCCAATATGTGAAGAGAACATTTTTGTCATTATGTACATAGCAATTAAAATGCTCTTTGCATGTGGCTCATTTAATACACATGCACTCAGTTGCCAGTTTATCAGGTACACCTAGCCCCAATAATGCAGTCTTAATACAGTTGCCTTCATGAACTCATAATGTTCAGTTTTTATTTTACCTAGGTGCACTTCATAAACTGGCAACTGGGTGTACATTTATTCAGAGGGGTAGGAGTGACATAATGTCAGACATAATGCAACACATGAACAAGGTGTGGGGTGTCTTGCTCAAAAGGACATTGGCAGAAATGTTGGGAACAGAGGACGGACCGGTAGATAAATGCACCATAAGTTCTGGGCATCAAATCAGAATTCATTTGGTGACCAGTCAACGTCTCTGGCTCGGATGCAGGTTTAAAGCAACACAGCTGGATGCTCTCACACCTAACCAGTTTGTTTCGGTTAAAACGAACTCTCACGCATTCGCCTGGTTAGTGCATTTAGTTTGGGCTGCCATGATTTTCCTTGATCAATCAGACAGCCAGAAGAAGTTAAACCTGCAGTGTATGGTTGAGTTTGTATCCCACTCTGTGTATTCTGGGAGTTCATTAAGTCTATTAAAAAGTGCTGCACATAGCGATCCTAAACTAATACACACATACTATTGGTGTTCAAGATAAGTAATTTTGTCCCAACGCTGCCTGTTTGTCATTACTCATAGCTTGCGCTATGCAAGTCTAATAATACAACTGAGACTCATACTCAGATATTTCTTCATGAGCTCTTTGTGAAACCAGAGAACATAAATATACACATGAGAAGCATTAAAGTGCTGCAAGACCTGCTGTCAGTCATCAGGATTTGATTTCCCCATGTGGGTCCATGTAGCGCTGATGATGCTGGATGACAGTTGCCAAAACTGTAATTAGCGAGTTACCTGTCAGTCTGTAAACCTTCAAGTTCACTCCTCTTGTCTCATTGCCTGTATCAACACAAAATTGGACCAGAACAGCAGGACTGTCTCCTGTTCTCAATTTGGTCCAGACCAAATGTACCAAACTACTGGTGTGAAAGCAATTTAAAGAGCTAACAGTTATATTAGCAGCAAATTGACATTTCGAGCCGATGATGGCGATAAATGACAAGTCAGGCGATCACCAAAGTTATTACAGTTCATGCTGAGGGGATCATGAGTATTTGTACAAACTTTCATGGCAACTGATTCAATAACTGAGACATTCCACTCAAAAGGCCAGAGGAAAAGTGAGGGGTTCACAAAGTAGTTAGTATTCATCCTCTCTCCACCATGAATGCCTGAACAATTTCGACTGACCAACCCACCAATAGACGGACAATCCCATCCCTAGAGTCACAGTATTGCATTCTTTGAACAGGATCCAAAGGAAAAGGAGAGGTTGTCTGTTCCTTATAATTTGCATGCTTGACAAAAAAATCTCAATGCACTGTCAAAGAAACGTCATGTAAACAACACGCTGGCTATACTGTATTTACAGGCTAAAAAAAGACAGCCGAATGCGCAAACAACCTTTTCTTTCCTTCTGAACAGCAATGTGACCATGATCATCTCCTAGCGAAGTACGGAAATGACCTGCAGGCTGACAACCAGATGTAGAGGGCGTGAGCAGGATGACCTACCTAACATCCAGCAGGGGGCCTTTGAAGGTGGTCAGCGGCTTCCTGGCTCCTTTGGTCCTGACGCTTGTGTCTCCTTTATCATTTTCCTCTGACCTCAAACTGTCTTCCAGGAAATTCACCTGAAACAACAAAGAACCCTTAATTAGAAAAGAGACTTAGAATACTGATAATGTAATCACGTGACCTTTATCTGGTTCCTCCCTTGAAAATACAGTATTTGACCCTTGGCCTCACATGGAGAAACGAGAAAGCTATCAGTTAATGAAGCTCTTGACAGTCATCTGTAAGGTTCTTGTGAAATAATGGTAAAGTGTAATGTTTCGTGAAAAAATTATTTTTTTCTTTTTCTGAGAAACTCCCGTGATGACTCCTCCTGACCTTTGTTCCTAGTGGTCACCAGAACAACAAGTAGCACTTCGATTTGACAAAGCAAGCCAGACCACAAACTTGTGACTATTGACAAAACGAAGAACGAAAGTAGCACAACCAGACCAGAAGTCATGGTATCATTCATACATTATACAAATACTTTCACTTCAGCAAAACATTCCCAACTTTGACCCAAATAATCAGCTGACACATCGCAAGACCATACGACAGCTGACACGATAGAAATTGTGAAACGTCTGCACAAGTGTTGGGCACTATAGATGAAGTAGCTGGGGGGGGATTGATGCTTTAACAGTGTGGCTGCCACTACATGCTGTGTAAAACAGATGGGAGATTGAGCACATCATTGGAGGAAGGGAAGGAAGGGGGCAAAGGTAAGTGGAGTCTGCATGTGATGGGAACACGTGTGACTCAGAGGCGAAGTGCGTCATTTGCTGTGATAAGCAACAAAGCATGTCATATTAATTTAATGGTGGACTGTCATGCAACTGCCACAATAAAGACATCAAGAGATAATCAGCTGCTGATGAAATGTCTCTATTTATTTGTCATTTTAAAGAGCAAGCTCAACACAATTAGGTAATTATGTGACTAGAAAAAAAGCAAAAACAAGTATTCATTCAAAATGAAACTTTGAAATGGACTGTGTCATACAGATTGTATAATTAAAAGAGCAGTGTTCTGTTGAGAATCATTGGCGCTGCTTTTGCCATATCCGTAATACAAAATTTTGTTATAGATAAACAAAGAGCAATTTATTTGAGAAACAAAATAATAATAAAAAAAAAAACACATAACACTATGATAAATCACACACAAATAAATTAACGGTAATAAAAGACATCTAAAATTAGAGAACTTCACTGTGATTTCTACACATTTAGTGTAAGATAAGAAATTCAAAGACAAAGAAATGATTAAAGATTTTACATAATCCTAAACGCAAGATTAGTGAAATGCTCATTAAGAGGAGTGTCCATTGATTATACAGTACATATTAAGGTTCAAAACAAGATACATGATTAGCACTCTCCAGAGTCGCAGAACCAGTGAAGGATAATGTTAGAGGACAAGGCACAAAAGGTCTTTTGTTAAAAAGTTGCCTCAAAGGCAAGAGTAGTGCTGAGGGTTAATAACTTCTACTGCTGTAATATAACAGTAATTATCTTAGTAGCGTTTAATTTGGGGTTAGAAGATAAGATTGTTAATGGGAAGTAACTTCACTTTGAGACAATTATAATGTGAAATGTTGAGTATTTTGCTTGGCTCAGTGTTTACATGATAATGTGCAAAAGGTAGGCTACTTCATTTAGCCTAAATCCCTTGATAACAAAGTCAGAAATTTTTTGTGGTCTTCAAACAGTGCAGTACGATTTAGAGGGTCAAATTGAAATGTGGGGTCCAGGACAAGGTCAAGGGACGACGATGACGCCAGTCGGCTGTGAAGGAGGTGCACTCACAATAATTCAGTCACGTGAGTACACCTGACTTTGCAGTCTGTAGAAATCTTCCGGACTCTGAGCTTCTTGTGTGGGTGTGATCCTACACTGCCTTACCATCTCCAGCCCTTGTTTCAAAACAGAGAGAAAGGCAATTAGCTTCTCATCAAGTTATCAGCGCAGTGCTGCTTGGGACCCAAGAGGAATTCAGGTTGGGATGGGTGGTGGCGGTGGAAATGGGGGGGGGTAGTTTCTTGTTTATTTAGACAAGATGGATCAGAAGCAGGGAGCTGAGCACAAGTACTGTGGAATGCGTTCTGACGGGCTTGAAGTGTCGACAGGCTGGTAAATTAACACAGCTCCGCGGGTTTAGTCACAGCACAGGCTACCAGAAATAAACTCTAATTCATAATGCCTGATGAAACTACTTCACTCCGTGCAAGCAGAAGTGCTGGAGCTTTGAAAACATATCAAGACAGAGAAGACACCGCTAATTAACCTGTTGTAACAATTACAAATTTCTCTTAAGCTTTCCTATTAACCTCTCATCACCACTCTCGCTAACCTTGCCTTTAATTAAGTTGTGTTTGGTTTAGATACACCTGATTCATTTTTGATAAGAATGTATATAACACCAAAGGCTCTAACTAATGAGCTTCAGGTCAAAGGGTAGGGTTGATTAGGCTTACAATTAGTTTCTAACGTCGGCCACTGGCAGTATTTAGAAGTCACATGAATAACCGTTAACATTCATTTTAATGGTTATACAAGTCACCTTTCAAAGCTAGAGTTTCTCAAAGAGAAACTGTTTAACTCTGTCCTCTCATCCTAAATATTCCTCTACAACCCGTAGAGAGCAAGTATATCACAGCATCAGCTCACTACAGAGTGGTTGTTTAACTAGTTTGTCTGGCTTACCTGAAAGGTATGTTGCCATTTCCGACAAAGCTGACTCAAATGTTTTGATATGCGAGGACTGCAGTGCTTGTTAAAACACAGTTATTGGGTTAAGCATCTGGAGAAAGAGTGTGAGGGGATGCCATGTTTATATTTTACAGTAAGAACATTAACAAACTCCAAACTTGTGACTGTAGATTATTGCCGAGGCTAACAAATGACTGATTTGCATATCTCTGCTTTAAAAACCTAAATCTGTAGTGCATGACCAATGTGGTGTTTATTAACAATGGGGGCTCTGTTTGTTTGTTGGGGCTTAGGAGGCTCATGAGAGTAGCTTCGGGTGATGCAGCAACACCAGTTCTCTCCAGCCGATATAGTTTGCGTCCTATAGGCAGCACGCTACAAAAAAAAGCCTCAACAGCTTCTAGAAACTAGAGCGCACTTATGTGCTATTCCTCACATCAAATGTGGGTTAAGCCCAAGTCTGCTGCTTCCTAGCTGAGGCAGAAAAACAACAAGATATCTGTAAATAACAGCTGCAACACTAAGTAACAACAAAGCAAAATTAATAAATAACCATGGCCGAAAACATACATATATACATACAAGGCATTCCCTGATACCAGGCACATCCTGAGATAAACCCCTTAATGCCCTCCGTCTATTTCCATGCAAGCTTTCTCTACACGCTGCTAGCCAGAAAAGAAGTTAAATAGATTATGAAGCGAGGGCTGGATTGTCCTGCAGGGAGTCGGTAGAATATGTGACATAAGTTTCAACCCTGACTGCGAGTAGGTAAAAATGTGGTGACACCGGAGTGAGGGGGTGGTCGACAGTGGCCGTAGACATATTCAAGATGAAGCCTGCGGGGCGTCTCGGTGACGGGCTGCGTGCTGGGATCTAGCTACAGCAGGGAAAAGCTAATAACTGACTCTGTGGACCATATGAGGAGCTGAGAGGATGAGAAAAGCAGAGCGCTGGCTGCGATACATGGGCTTTGTTGGTCGGATTTATTTGCAGGCAAAGACATTAGGAGTCACCTTCACAGAGACAATGAGAAAGAGCTTAACATCATCCAAATCAGGGCATTACTTGCCACTTAATTCACAGTTGTCTCCAAGGAGTGGTCTGATTACATGCTGTAATCTGAAGCTCAACTTAAAGAAAGGGAGCGAATGAAGAAACAGGAGGAATCTTTGACCACAGGGCATCCAATTTGACTAGTAGCAGAATGTCACGCCCATAAAGAGATGGATACCACTGGCTGAAATGCCACAATTAGGATTAATCATGACCCAATCACTGTCAGTTCATGTTACACATGAGAGCGGCTACACTGCTGATGATAAGACACAAGCTTACTTTATAGTTTTACTATAAACACCAATATTTAATCACATCCATTTACCAATTTATTCAAGAATAGAACACTTATCAATATTTAGACACTGAGATCAAATAAAGAGCATCCCTATACTGTGTCACAAGGAGCAGTCATTTATATTGCAGAGAAATGAAAAAGGTGTACAAGGGTGAAGACATGTTTTCATTTAGGTTAAGGGTTTGTTTTAGCTCTGAAGGACTGCTCATAGCAGCTACATATGAACTTGAAATAAAATGTACCTTTTTGGGCTTTACAGCAACCTCAGAGTTGAAGCTGGACTCAAGTGCATCTTTGCCCTCCATTTCACCCTCTTTGCTCTCCGTCTCATCCTCACTAACAATGGGTCCGTTATCACAAATGGGCGTTTGGAAGTCGTCATCAGGAAGAGGCGGGTAGCTATACTTGAAGGGGTCCTGGAATATAGCCAGACAAGTCATATCACTACACGCATGGTTTTTTTAAGCATGTACAATCTCAATTTAGTACATACTGAAAGTCACTGATAAGAACAGGAAGTCCCATGACTTGATTATGAAATCTAACTGATGTTTATCATTTACTGAAGTGATGAAATGACTTCTATTGTCTACTGGACAGTTGTGACCTGACAAACCTGCTCAACCTACTAATTACTAATTAGATTTCAGTGTGGCACAAACATTCAAGATAGAAAAAATATTTCTTAAATTGGTTTATATTTACAACTTGCACAATACAACTGTGCATCACACCAACATTACAATGGGATCCCACTGAAATATGATAATTACTGAATGGGTGACAACTACTGCACCCTCTGATTGCACTGATTAATGCATCATATGTCGTTATTTTGAATGCTGACATATACAGAAAGACATAATAACGTACCGTTCCACCCATGTGAGGTGGCAGGTACTCTGGGTCTATGAATGTCTGGATCTCAGTTTTGGATGCAAACTTGAGCTTGCTGATTGCCTCGGGTCCCAACCAGGACTTCACAATCTTCCATGCAGCTGAAATAGAGACATGATTATGCTCAAGATGTCAGAATAGAATTATTATTTAGATAAGTTACCAATGGACATAAAAATTTTCAAGATTGTACAGACTGCTGAGAGAAGGCAGGCCCGTTCTCACCATTCATGATCCAAGGCATATCCACGATGATCATTTTGGCTAAAACGATAGAAAAAGGACAACATTTGTCCATGAGAATTATGTTTCAAAATTGACTTTAAAGTAGCAAAAATCACTATTGACGAATGATTATAACAAATTTTGTTACTTACACAAAAACTTTGGATAATATACTTTGAAGCAATTGATAATGTACTTCACAAACTCCATGTCCTGAAAGACAAAGCGGAAAAAAACACTGATGTAAAAAGCGTAACGACACATGGTGCTTTAACTATAAAAGACGCTTTTGAACAAGGAAAATGTTGGCTCATTCTTAACCACCTGTAGATCTGCAGTGACCCACTTAACAGAAAATGAAAATTCATTACATGCTCCTCTGAATGATCCCCCGCTCAATCCCTCTCAAATGCCAGTCGTTCTCTCAAATGAAAAAGACTCAAGGAGGCTATTTCGCAAAGTTTTTACTTGCTGTTTTGACACCATTTGATTGCACCACCTAGATCGAACAGCTTTTAACCAGTTCAAGGTGACAGTCTTCCTAAAAACAACTTTTAAAAAGGAGAAGAGTTTACAGCAAATGGCTTAGACTTAAATACATTTTTACACATAAATACCGTAATAAAGGGATTCTGACTCAAACAGATAATATATATTTTTTAGATTGGGCAGATAAAACAGATAAAATAAAACACCATAAATCTCATCTAGCAGCCGCATATTCAGGTGAAAGGTTCTCCTACTATGTTTTTGAGTGAAAATGATAAATGTTCATCTTACTGTTTTATGTTAGTCACAGTCATCAGGCAAACAGACAATATGTCAATAGATACGGCCCTGCTATCCTGGCTGGGCTCCATAATTGGCTAGAAGCCTCATTGCTATGCAGCAGACTCCCTCCCAAGCCTTAATGAGATCATACTGGCTACCCTTGCTGTAGCTTGTACTGTGGTTCAACAGCCTCAATAAGGCTGCTTTCCAAACTGACCTTCTAATCTACTCATTTCATGTTTGAGCTGCATAGCTATTTATCAATTTTGCCTTTCCTTGTGTTGGTTTATTTGTATTTAATAGAGCCATTTCTTCAGAAGAGAGCCTAGCCAATGAAACACACTCGCTGACAGAGCTTCATCAAGGAGCTAACGCCTGCGACACAGCGAGTCCTGCGGATTAGACAGTCCCCTCGAATTGACCAACGGGATTTAAAGGTTACTTTAATCTCCAAAGTGTAAAACCATTGAAGAGCATCAGTCCCTGCAAGACCACGGCTCAAACAGCAAGAAATATGAGGACGCTCAACAGCTTTTAAATGACAGTCGCAGCAAAGAAATGGTCTTTTTCTGACATAAGAGTGAAGCTTATTTAACAGGGAGGGGTTGAAAATGCAAAGTAAGTTTTGTCTTGGAGACCTGGATATAACTGCAAGAAAAGAAGCTAAATTAAAACCTAGATTATAGCTTGACACATAAATAAAAAAAAGAAGTGCTTCCTTTGAAACACCCTCATCACAGACTTACTATATTGCTGAGGCCAGACTCTGCCATGTCAAACACTACAGTGAGTGGCATCCCAGGCTCTTTCTTTGCATACCGCTCCAGCCAGAAGGCAACATACTTCTTCTTGTCCAGGATTGTTTTTGCATCCTTGGTGTGTAACTTCACTTTGAACCAGACTGAACAAAGTAAACAGAGAATACAAACGATTAATTAAGGAATTAGAAGCTTTGTATTAGTGTAGAATTTCAGTGACGGCTAAAGACTTTCTAATGTAACTGATATGTTGTCTGACGGTTAAAGAAAGGCTAAGTTGTAAGTGTGTAACATTAGAGTTTACTGTAAGTAGATCTGTAATAGAACATGCACATACAGAGCTTGTTGCCCTCTTTGTCATAGCCGTGGAGGTAGACAGCACCAGTCTCGAACATCCATTTGGGAATGACGCTCTCAGTGAGATCTGAAATACGCAGGCAGACACACACATTACTCTGTTAACTGGTGTTTGTTATAATCTAATTATTAGCTAAACAGAATGTAACAAGGGCAATGGTTGCTTGTAAGGTTCCTAAAAAATTGAATATGTACTACAAAATGATTGCAATGCTTAATTTATCTAAGTGACAGCTGCTTTGTCTTGACAATACTCAGCAAAGCCATCTTCCATTGCTGGAGAGGAGTCATCAGAAGCAAAAATATAACTAAAAGTGGTCTACAGTAGTAATAGTAACACTGTGCGAAACATACATGTAGGAAAACCATGAGTGGACAGCTGTACTTTCCTGGGTTTCTCCTAGTAGTCTCTCACTTACCATTATTTATATACAGTTTCATAGAATCTGTTAAAGATCCCAGTTACACTTAAATCTGAAGCTGCTTGAGTTGACAGAAGAAAACACACTTATCAACCCACGTCAATAAAACAACTAACATCATAAGGCCGCTGGATACTAACGACTTGAATAAATCAAATTTCCTAAAAACAACAGTTTGATAAATTGAATTTGCTGGGTGACAGACTAACAAACAGCAAAATTGAATTCCTCAGAAAACAGAAACAGTGGGGATTGTTCTCGGGGTTAGCCTATGCATGAAGATATGGGTACAATGACACTCTGTCTGGGTTCATCCCAGAGCAGCACAAAGAAAACCACAGATCTGTGTCGCAAGCTTGCTAAATATGGTAATGTCAACATTTCTGCTTTGGACATTAAACTTCAATACTTTTTTGGTACTGATGAAATCGTGCCTGTAGGATCAACTATCAAAAAGGGTTGTCATGTTCCAAAAGCTGGAATTTAAGGACTATTTTACTCTCTGATCATGTAGTTCATAACTTAAATCAGACATTTTGGCAATTTTAGACAATTCTATTGAGGCAAAGTTTCTGGACAACATCTCCTGCTTTGACAACATTTACACCTGAGAACCTTGGCATCTTTTATTAAATGAAAACAGGGTTTTTTTTTTTGTTTTTTTTTAGAAAAACATAATTCATCTTTGTCCAAATAAGACTGCTCTACTTTCAGCTGATGTAAAAATCGCACATATCATGTTACAAACTGTTCAGCGTGGACTCTTACCATTCACGCCAAACTCTTTTCTCCACTGAAGGCTTTCATCAATCATTTTCAAGGCATCATCAACGACATAAAGTCTCCATGTCAGGTAGCCTTCCACCAGTGATTCATCATTTTGAAGCCTTTCCACATCCCTGGAGTCATATTTTTCTGTTGAATCTGTAAACATAACACAAAGGCTGAATCACATGACGTTCAAAATTCAAGGAGCTCAATGTTTAACTTCCAACCACACGGACTTTCCTACTTCCATAAAAGTAGTATGACCAATGACAAACCACAAAGAGATGTGCTGTAAACTCAAATAAAGTTCACCCGGGGGCCATGATGATTAGGACTATTTATATTTCCATGCATAAATGTCTTCTCCTTTTTTATATTTATGTAAATAAGCTGCTAAATGGAAGTGGGGTCGCTGCCAAACCAAATGTTGTTGTGTTTAACAGGCAGTGACAATAAAGCCTTTAACGTTACTCTAATCTAATCTTAAACGTTATACCCACAGGCTGCATTAGTCTAAACGAGTACATGTGGCAACACAGAACTAACGTTAGCTAGTTATCTGTTGGAGCTTATCTGGGCTCTCAGCATTTAGGTCATGGTGTCACCAACGTGACAAAGTAATGCAACAGCTAGTTAACTTACAGTATATCGATTTATCTAGCTGACAGTAACTCCAAATTTAAGCACAAAAACAAGTGACCCGTCAAGTTAATGTCAGTTTATCCACAATAACTGTGTTACCTTGCAGGAACTCATTCTTAAATCTCTGTCTCGTCTCCTCAATTTTCTTCTCAATGTCCTGTCAAGGGAGTTCGTTCGGGTTAAAGTATGCCTTTCGTTTCAACAGACACATTTGTTTAAAATAAAAATAAAAATAGCTAAAATGCGGTGTAACTGTAGTTAACGATACCTGCTCCCCTTCGTGTTGATCAAGTTCAGCCATATTCGTCTGCCCCGGAGTTCCTCCTCTGTGCTAGTTCCTTGTTGAGCTAGCTAAGAATCAGTGCGGAGTGTGAAACTGGCGTCCGGTCGCGGCCATTTTGGCTCCGGCCGTGGCCACACCTCCCTGTGTGTTGTTTGTTTGAGCTTGAATGAGTAGATGAAGTGTTGGAAGTGTGAACTGTATTCAACATCCGACGAAACGCGTTTATCTAATCATCCGTATAATTGATTGGTTCAAACGGAACCAGCAGCAGGCGTAATCTAATTAATGATTATTCATCTTATCGCCAACTCGCTGCTGTTTATCAACTCTCACCCACAATGCACTTGGCGCTGACAGGAAGCGTTCAATTTCATTTGGCGCGCCGCTGTGAGTGTACAGTTGTTATGATGAGTTGAAAACGGCTTCATTTCTCTCACAAACGTTATGTTTATCAGCTAGCCGCCAGTTTGTACACCTTGGTGAGACATGTGTCGTGAAAGTGAGCGCTCCCAACTTCGCGGTAACGTTAACACGAACTGTCAATAAAGGAGGAATCGAACCTGGTAGGCGCCTGAACTTTCCCTATTTGCATAATGGAGATATTGTTCTCAGAAGGTGTGTGTCAAAACCTCCATCGGCTCTGCCTCTGTGGAAAGATAATCTCGTTTAACTGCCAACGAGCTTCAGCCACAAACGAAAGCGAAAGGAGTGAGTTGGTATTCAGCAGTCTTTCGTTTGAACGGGAGGGGAAGGCGTTCGTGAAGGCAGCAGACGGAGCGGCTGTCATCAGCGGGAAAAGATCCGCTCAGCTGGATATTGTCAAATGTCAATGTGCCATAAATGTTCAGACGAGAGTCACTACACCGTGTGTTTTGGTTACAAAGAAGAGTGAGAAAGGAGAGGGCTTCCAGTATAGTCTCCTCACACTGAGCAGCTCGAACCGACTGGAGCCCTGCATTGAGTTTAAACTCCCATATCAAATGAGGGAGGGTGTCTCCATCCTCAGGGGCCCCACAGTGTTGTGGAGCCACGCTGGTAATGTCTTCTATACATCCCTGCAGGCAGGAGAGGTGAGACAGATTCCCATTCAGTTGTCCCACACTGTCGTTGGAGAACTCCCCCTTCACAAAGAACAGGTGTTTGTTCTCGGCCTGCAAAACCTTTCAGGGAACTGGTCCACAAGTCAAACCCTGGGCTACTTTGTTGAGGATGGACACGTGTTTGATGGCGCAATGGTTTTGCCTCATCCCTACATTTGCATCACACGATGCCTCTTGGTGCTCTCAGCTGAAAAAAGGGATGGTGACGGTGTGTTGAAATCTGCTGTGGTTGCAGCAACTTCTAATCAGCAGCTTGTTTATTTTGAGAATGGCATCGTAAAGGACACATGTCAGCTCCCCTTTGAACAGCCTGAGAATATTCAGCTAGTCGACACGGGAAGAAATGGCTGTCTGTTTGCTGTGTCCTTTCACCAGGGGCATGTATGCGCTGTATGGAAGAAGACGTTTCAGGTATGGAAAAATGGGCTCAGTGTCTATGGACTGTGTTTTCTATTGCTGTGCTTTCATTCACTTTACAAGGTTTTTTTTTTATGTTGTTAAACTTTCTCCTCCAGATAGCCTCCCAGTGGTCAGGTGTCAGCTCGGTCCACGTGGATGACTTCTTGGGATGTGGAACAGATCAGATGCTGTTGATTTTTAAGGATCAAGGTGTAACAGAGCAGCCACTGGAAAGATTCCTCCTCACGGACCTGTGCGGCATTACATATGCTGTAAGGCATCATTTTTCCATCATAGTTACATTTATTTGCGCCCGAAGTCAAGAGTGTCTAATAAAAAAAGTGCATGTTTTAGCATTGCCAGGACAATGAAGCACCGAAGACGTCTCCTCCACCAGAGAACTATCTCCTCACTCTTCAAGCATTAGAGTCCAGACTACAGGTGAGCATCATTTTTTTTGCACAATCATATCATCATGCTACAACATTACAATTATGATGTAATTCATTGTATGTAACATTCATTTGACTATTTTACAGTTCTACAAATGTGTGGCATATGGTGGCACTCACTTTGTGTTCAATTTCCAATATATAGGCTACTGTTCATCAAATGTGATCTGTCTTTTTAGAGTGGATTGACCGTGCTGCAGGAGCTTCAGCAGGAGGTGAGAGTGAAGGAAAGAGTTCTACAGCAGTCAGTCCAAGCCCTTACTGATGTGATCTCAGAAAGAAACCCTACTCTCACACAGCCTGAGCAGGTACTGTTCATGTAAGGAAATATACGACTCTGCAGCCTGTAATAGTATTAAGGTATTGGTGGGCTGTTTTAACATTATAACACAACTTTTTTCCCCCCATCTATATCAATCCCACCCTCCTTCCCCTCAGTTGATTAGGTTTTGCTCCAGCACCTGTCACTAACGTTCATAAGTTAAAATGGCAGCTGATGTCAGGTGGGCAGTTTCTAATACTACCACTGGCATCGAGGGAACAAGAGCAAATAGGAGCAATAAAGACAAATGCCACAAATGTTTTCATGTCTACTTACCGTATTTTATGTCAGTTTACAGTGTTTATACGACTATTTTAAAATTTTCTTTTTAAAAAAGGAAGCCATGTTAATGTTAACATATCTTTTGGATTTACTACAATAAAAATAGTTTCAATTCTGATTCCTTTATATATTGTATCATTTTGTCTATAATAATCTAATAATTGTAATCAAAGCCCTCAGTATATAAATGAGGACATTGAAATGTTTTTATATTCTCTGCACTCCTGACACTAGAATAAGCCATTACAAACCTATATAGAGCATCCTATATAGAATACTGTGATACAAATCTTTGTCTATACCGTCCAGCACCACTTTATGGTTATATATACATACTGTTACATACTGGGTGGCATTTTGTTTATGTGTTTTTTTGTCATAACCCCAGTACCCCATGTTCTAAATGGGACTATAAGGATTCATGTTCTCTTCCAGGTGAGTTTTAATTTCCCTTAGCGTAAATTAAAATACTTTTTTTTTTTTAAATGTATTTTAAAAAAATATAAATTACTAGGATTACAAATCCTAGTAATTATACTGCATTTGGACATGAAGTAGCACTACAACAACTCTTTGTCTTTAAATAGCATTTATAAAGTCCACTACATGTGTACCTGATGAGCTAATGTTCAAATTGAAATGTATGACATACGCTGCCATAGCTGTCAATGCTGTCACACACTTGTCTTTGCTGATTATAGTCTTCTTTGCACTTTCTGTCCAGGAAGGCCTCATTGCTCTGTGGGACTGTGATGACGAGTCAAAGGAAGAGGCCATGGATGACAAGACACAAGACATGCCAGCAGTGTCTT